CGTCTCAGTAACAAATTAAAACATGACTCTTTCCTGGAAGTAGTATAAGTTGCTATTAGGTGCACTAATAATAATATGTGTCCAATATAACGAGGGTTGACCAAAGACCCTGGACAAACATAACATTAAAGCATCTTCATCAAATATACAAACAAAGCAGCCATTTTGCTCTATTAGGAGCCATTATTCACTACTAGGCGCATTATTTCCTTGCGTTGAAATTAAAATATTTCGAAATAAGATAAGTTATGAGTTCGTTGAAGTGATTGTACAGGCATGTTATTATTCACAAGCAAAGGTAGCGGACTTCTATTCCCTACCTTTAAAGTACATATGCAGCTAGTGCATGTGACTACAGGGATTTGGTAATTCAAACCATGAAGAAACAGCTCCAGAACAACATTAGAAAACATGCTGAGCCAAAAACGTTTAAAAACGTTCACAAGACTGTACAGTGCCTGTTTAAAGCCTTTCCAAAAGAAAACTAGCCCTCCGCTACACCACTTATAATGATAGAAAATTAATCCATTTGCGCAATTAAAGCAAGTTCCTTCATTTCATTGAATTTTCAAATCAATATCAAACTTAAATGGAAAATTTGCTTATAACAGACTATTTAAACATATTGTAATATTCACTAGAAAAAGAGACATGAAAATGCTCTTGGATGTCGTGTTGTTCGCGTCTTGAAAAAATATTAACTATATTGTTCGTACAGACAAAGTGCAATGTAAATAAATAATTAATTCTCTKATAGTCAAATAAAAATGAAGTACCTGCAACAGGTCGTTCAAAAGATATTCAAATAAATTATGCACTTATGATACAATTCAAAATTGGCTGCTCCACTGAATAATGATAAATAGTGGACTGTAATCTAATGAAATACATTACAATATAGGCCTTTATCGTAAGTCCCTAGGACCATTTCAAAAATGTTACTTATAGTCATCTTCGCTGTTCCCTGCGCCATCTTGAAATGTAGCGATGCCATTACATTAGATAGAAGCGAAGTTAATATCAAAGCGCTCAATAAAACGATAAATATCCATTCTCTTTCCCAGTCCCTTCTCAGTTTCCCAATTAAAAATCCATTCTCTTTTCCTTTTTTCAAATTCTAGGATAATCTATCCTATTGTTATTAAAAATTAAGAATATTGAATTGGATGAATTCCCGATATTTATCGTTATTCTGAATTTCCCGCCAGTTCGGAAAAATGATCTCTCTCTGAAATCAGGGGCCTGGTGCGAATGTGATGTCAACATGTACTAAGAAATCGTCTCTCACATCTCTGGAGCCTTTCAAAGTAAATAGTGGAGATTTGAAGGTATTCATTCTCTAAATTTCTGCTGGGAAACCTGYTGGGTACCAGAATGAACAAATATCCAGAAATAAGGAAAATAGAAAAAAAAGAAGATATAGGGAGTGATTAAAGGAATAGATTAAGAAGAACAAGGGATAATTTTAAAGACTACAAAATGTATGAACAAGGTAATCACAGGATWAAMACRMKMTMTWYTYYTYWTATACTAACATTTCACATACCCTTTTCTCTTCCTGTTTTTTCCAYTCCTTGTATTCCTCTTCATATCTCTTGGTCAATATTCTCTTGATTTGCTCAGCAGCTTCAAAGATAAGCTTTAATCTCTGTAAAAAAATAGAAAGAAAAAAAAGACTATATGATCACATTTTTTAGTACAAAATTTTGGTCCAACCCTGATCCATTTTTAAATTATGATCTTTTTATTTTTATATTTTTTTCTAAACAGTAGCATATGTCCTAAACTTCATTTTTTTTCTTATTTCATAATCCCTGATCTCCCAAAATTTACTCATCCCGTGTTACAAAAAGTGCTYCTTGTTTTTCTTGATCCCCAATCCTGACCCTTGTTGCAGCTATATGATCCTAATCCAAAGATTATAATCCCTCATGTCTAATCCCACATAACATGATACAACCCTGTGATTACATGTTCACATGTGGGCATTCGGTCTACAACAAATTTTCTCTGGAACAGGGTCAGGGTTGGATTTTACTCTGGAACAGGGTATAGTTTTCAGCGATATCACTCTGGAACAGGGTCAAGGTTTGAGGTCCCAGCGGCACACCCCCACCCAAGTTTGGTGAGGATTTCATATTGAGACATTAAGAGTGGGAACATTTTGGAATACTAAATAAACCATGTTGGATCACCTTTTTGTTAGCAGCTTTGTCTTGAGGTGATGTTTTGTTGTATTCAACATGACTAGGCAGYTTCTCCACAAATAAACTGTTGTTAGACAAAGACAAATGTTAAGGCAATATAAGAGAAGCTTCCATCGATATTTTAACAACTTCACTGTTGCTTAACAGAAATTATGACAGAAATGATTATAAGGACAGAAAAGACTGTGTATCAAATTATGAAATTTACTACACGTATAGTGCAATGATATGTGGCAATAATCCTCAGGATTGAAATTGACTGCATCCTTGATTCATCTATTGGTTAAGCCTAGCTGACTTTTTCACAAGCGATGCAAGGGCAAAAAGGACTTTAGCAAGTGCAAACCCAAGAAACCTTATGGCCTTATTTTGAAGTGAAAACTGGCCACCAAATGCAGGTAACACAAGCACAAGTGCAAGCACAAGAGATCAACATTTTCATTTCTTCTTGCACTTGGACTTCTCCTTTTTCGTTTTTTCTTGAACTGTTAGTGAAAACCGGGGTCAAGTCAGTGATTGCACAATGTGGAACTCCATTACCAGTGTATTATATCTATTCTTAGTTAGTATATTTTACATCTTATATGTACTGTTATTTGCTCTTACAATGCTAAAATAAAGGAATTATGTCATAATGGCCCTCAAGATATATCAACCTACTTATTTATACACCTAATTATGACAAAGGTTGTCCTGAGATTTAAGGATTCTCTACTTGTGCATACCCATAATACCTTCTGATTTTTGGGGGTAGTTATTGTTATTGAAATCATTTATATTTGAATAACAATTAATTTTATTTGCATCACAAAACCTACCCCCCAAAATCAGAAGGTATTATGGGTCATGTGCAAGTAGAGAATTTAGGAAATTAAGAATACATTAAAAGACAAAGCATATAAACACTAATTAGCTGAACACTTTCTTTTGTATTTTAATTAATTCCTAAATAGTAAAGGTTCTTTTTTCTTGGACAACGTTTGTGTAATTAGGTGTATCTAATTACAATTTATCTATTTTCAAACTTACATAATGAATTTTGTAAACAGGATAAAAGCACTTTCATAATTCTTCTCATCTAAATAAACATTAGCCTGAAACAGAAATAAAAAGCAAAATAACCTCAACCAACTTCAACAACAACAAAAACACACAAGTTAATATTACAGATCAACAATCAATAATCCAGTTTCGAATTCTCCAATGCTCTGTGTTGTGCGCAAAATATTCCTTATTGTGAGCGTAAAAGTGTGAGATCAATTCTATTGTCTTTCTTCACAAAATTCCATGCGTTTTCTCAAGCTATCAATGAAACAAAAGAATATGTTACTTGGTTTTGAGGCTAACACAGAGCAAACTAGAACTCGAAATTGGAGTATTGAGACCCCACAATCTAAAACCCAGGAACATCCTAGGAATTACAGCAGTCATTATAGAGCTTGGGAGATTTAAAATTTTCTCAAATAGCATTAATCAACGGCAATACCAGGTAATTAATGTAAGTGAAAGGAAATCATGTCACACAGTTTTTTCTGGCACTGTCGCTGTTTCAACTGGACAATATTAGATGTTTCAGAAAAGCAACCACTGAAAATAATATATTGAAATACATTAAAATTAAAAATGTAAACACACTTTTTCAGTGCAACTATAAAGCTCTGTAACCTTTTCTGTGAAACAAATTAGATTTTCATTATGTAAAACTAAATACAGGTAGCCCAAAAGCAACAATGAATGTTGGCTTTAGGAAAATGGCTTTACAACTCTCCCAGTATTCAGTACTCAAGTTTTTTTCGCTTTGCACAAGACTCCAGTAGATTTTAGCCTACATTTTTCATCGTAATCTAAATACATTACGTTCTTATCACATATTGATATTGACGGAAATTATAATGTAGAAACACCATAGGTATTTTTAGTTCATGACATCACTTAAGGATGAGGCTTGCGATATAATATATTATTTTAACAAAAGATGTACGGAAAAAATGAAAAGAAAGCAATAGATAATCTAAATGAGAGTAAATTATGTACATTTCCAACAAAAAATTCAAAGCTATTGAATAAGACAAAGATATAAATTGCTTTTCTCATTGGCGAGCTCAGTCAGATTTGCAATCAAACGAGCTTCGCCAGATAAATCAAGCAGATTTTTTTCACTTTGCTTTTCACAACTCACCATTCTCTCCATTTCAATGCCTGATCTAAAGTATCTTTTTGGTGGTACATTGCTGTCTACTTCAATAACACTTGCACAATCTGACAAAATGCGTATTCTTTCAGAAGGAGGTTTGGACACTTGCTTCGCTGCGTCCGCCATTTTGAATTCTGCATGTCAATAATACCAACTGTGGGGAGTGGGCTAAGGATAATTGGTCCTGTGAGATGGATACGTAGGAAGTAGCGGTGGGGAAATGGACAGAAATACAATTCAAATTAATTTTATTCGCACATGATCAATATAATACCAAGTGTATTAGAGAATGTACAAGAATAGAAATATTTGAAATTATTGGAATAGGAGAAAAGAAAAGACACACTAAAAATACAAAAAAAAACAACAAACAATTACAAATCAACAACAACAAAAACAACAACAAAAACACATCCAAGGAATGAGAAGGGAATGATGTCCTGCTCGACACAGAACGAGTCGCAGGTCTCAAAAAGAATTAAAAAAAAGAAAGTGATCGACTATTAAGCAGGGGGAGGATCCAGCGGATCCAGGGAGGGGGGGAGGGGGGTTGTTCTATATATAGATGCAACTTTAACTGGCATATAAATGTCCGCAGAAGCTTCAAATGTCAAGCGTTTCTCTTTTTTACTGTTCTGTTTTAACATTATTTTATTATGAACTGTATTTTCTTATGAGCTGCTCGTTCTAGCAGACATTGCATTGAACTGATTTAGTTAAACATTTATATTAGTTGGCGCATTATAAAACAGAAACGAACCTCCCCGATTGTAAAGCCTATGGACCTTTTGATGTAATGGCGCTAGAAAAAAATAAAGCAAGAATCATCGAATCAAAATAGATTATGCGTGAAATAAAAAAAAATAGTGCAATAGGTGGCCACTTCAAAAACAAAAGCTTCTTGAAACATGATGCATGACCATGATCGAATTCCCTATAATTTACAAAATGAATCAAAATATACCGAAAGTTCAACAACTGCAAACTGTTGTGTTGGTTCTTTAAACAATAAAAAAAAAACATTTTACTTGGATTTCTGCGATACAGTGTAATTGTTTTGGGAAATAGAGTTCTTCCTTTGGTAACATTAAAAGAATCATTGTGCTTGCGATTTCTAAGCTCTCTGATTACGGGTTGACAATACTCGAGCTGACGAACAGATTAGCCTTAACATATAAATATCTACGAAATACCTATATTTTCCCAATTTCGTAAAGTTGATATTTTCACTAGTAAAAATAGCATGTGATTGTCATTTTGTCGAATTGGCTTTGGGTCAAAAAATAAATATTTGCTAAGTAAGTTTAGGAATTAATACCAGAATTAGCAAATATACTATGACTCCAAAGTCTCAGCTAAAACATTTTCAAGGATCTATCAATTTCCTCTAATACAACAATATCCCATGAACGCTGTTCAGAAAGACAACAACAAAGCCATATTTACATACTCATTGTGCACTAAGATAGATAATTTCTAGTGCAAGAATATATTCAGTTATATTCAAAGCAACATAAAGTTGGAACATTTTAATGCAGTTGCCAATAAAATTAAATTTGCTATATAATTCGGGTTTTAAACTAAATTGCTTTGAGAATTTTAATATATTTTTTTGCAAATGATGACTTCATTGTCTGTCCTTATGTCTGACGATCGAGCAACGTTATACTGGGATTGACTATAATGTATATTTTTCTGAGCTCGTGTTTCGAACAAAAAGACGCCAAAAGAGCTATAAAAGCACATAACAGTTTTGATCAGTTTTGAACTGTCCGCCTCATTGTCAAGGCAGTTTTAATATGAATCTATTTTTAAAACTAGACGTTCATGGATCGCTTACGTGGCCGCCCTGTAGCTGTGAGAATGGTCAGCTGCCGCCGTTAAATTATATATAATTATGAAGCATCAGATTCAAGAAGATATTGATACAAATCCTTCATAATTTGGGCAAAAATTGTTGGAGTAGTATTAAAGATGACATCATTTACTCCATCCTTTTGTTCTTCCATCTTTTTTAAATTTCTCTGATGTGGGATAATTCCAAAACATACACATTTTCCCGCAATTGTTTTTAATAGATATAAATGAGTGATATATTTTTTTATTGCTTGACGTATTGAAATAAGGCCACTTTCATGCAAGTCGCACTTTAAAAACACTTTACAATGGGACACTCGAAAACATGTTCAAACTTGTATCAAAAACAGGTGAGATGATAACTAAGTCCCTTATTAGCTATAGCCTGCTTAGTAGGTCGCTACATTTGCTACTGGAGATCGTCAAGGTGAGACTTAAAACAAGTGCCGGTTTTGCTGCTGCACAGAAGAAGAAGAAAGGTAAGGTATTTCACGCAATGTGAAATATACGATAAGTTTTCTTTTGAGCACCGATGTTATTAGTCGGACTAGCCGAAGGCGGGTCCGACTTTAGTTYTACCTTTTSKTMTGGTATGTATTATGTCGCGTTTGGACCACCGGAAGTTAAGAATTTAATAATTAACTATTGGGTTAGCAGTGTTATTACATGACCGGAAGCTCAAGCGTATTGATGTACGAATATCGTTAGTAAATGTTATATGCTACTTGGGTTTTATATGACAAAAAAACAATTCGTTTACAAATGTGGTATCTGTGATCTCATCGGAATGCATCTGTCTAGGCATTAGAAGTACGCGCATGTGCAGATCGCATAGAGTTTCGAGTTGTATGCTTGCAAGACTGAATCAATATCCTGTCTAGTGTTAGACAGTCTTGTGGGGGCAAAGATTTCAAATTAGAACAAGAAGAAACTTTGTTTATCAAAAATAGAAAGGCGAATTTAATGATTTTATAGGCATCTTTTTCCTTGTAAAGTTTTTATTTTCTTTGCCTGAGAGGTCAACAATTTGAATTAAAAACGTATTAGATATGATATCACTTACAGACATCTAGTCTCTAAGTATTAACTACATGACCTTTTAGGTCAAAATTTAGATTTCTATCGTTTTGAAGTCGTTGCAGAGAGCAGTCGAAAAGAATATCGTATTCTTTTATCTCATATAAGGGATTATCATTTTCAAGAACTTAAATTCGCATCGTAATAAAATATAACCTTTATAATATTGTAAAGCTGTTAAAACTACATAAACTGGTAGGTAAAGTTTCAACGTTATAGAGCCTTTCGTTTCGGAATTATTGACAATCAATGTATGCCGAAAGCGTTCTGGTGGATATGTCGATACCACCAGCAAAATGTCCGAAACTTCAAAGACTAATAACTAGACCCTGCCAGCAGGGTGTACTCGTGACCTAAAGGTGTTGAAAAGTGCTAGCTTATTCAGTCCTTTTCCAAATTGAGCTCATTTAAAACTTTTCACTTCGCCTATATTTAGCAGCTTTGAAGGAACTAGATGACAAATCTACACGGTAAACATCACGTAAGGAATGCAGACGTGACTGAAATCGTTCAATCCGAAAATCTTTCATGTCAAACAGAGTAAAAATATGGATAGACGTATTCTTATTGTAGTAATTTAAAGGTTAGGTATTAAACCACAATATCCTGAAAATCAGACAATTTTCGAAGTGTCGGTGATAGTTCGCGCCGTGCTAACGATCTCAACAAGATGGTTATCCGCTCTCTATAAAACCATAATCGCTTCAATATTCATCTAGGAATACTCCCCCGTGAATAGCATTGTTTTCTTTAATCCTGAAGAGACAGAATTCCTCATCAAATTGAAAATTTAGGCTATGCAACTCGGAATCAAACAGCCACGTTGCGGCTTCACTCAGCCTACGATCGGTTTACATCTCGCCAAGGAAAATGCACTATTTGGCTCGATACACCAACCTTGATGACCTAAACCAATGTCATAATATATGCTTCGACACAGATGAATGTCTTGGAATAACAAAAGGCCTCGAATATCAAAGAATTACTATAAAAGCTACAGCTCCCGGGCAGTTAACTGTTCTATTACACGATTGTTTACAGCCGAGTTCGTAATGTGATATTTCGTGATAGATCGGAGGGCGATCGGGAGACCCGAAGGCAAACTTCTGACTTGGAAAAAAAAAACTATACGCGTTGCATTTTATGACTCGTGACCCGGCCAAGGCCCTGGTCACGAGTAATTATGATGGATTTTTCGACATATTTCAATATCTTTTACTGAAATATACTAAAAATAAATACTCTGAACATGCCTAAGGTAAAATCTTCCATCTTAGGTGAATTAGTTTTGAGTTTCGTCGCTAATACGAAACGCGTGACAGTCTTGCGTGACAGACTTTGGGCCCTTATAACTTGAGCACAAAATAACGAAATGACTTCAAACTTTTTCATGGTAGTCATCTCAATAGTTTCTAAAACATATTTTGAAATTATTATTATAAGATGTTTATTTCTGGTTTTGGTTTTACGATGACGTCACATGAAAACGAAGAATTGGCTGTGAATAAACGGTCANAATCAGACAATTTTCGAAGTGTCGGTGATAGTTCGCGCCGTGCTAACGATCTCAACAAGATGGTTATCCGCTCTCTATAAAACCATAATCGCTTCAATATTCATCTAGGAATACTCCCCCGTGAATAGCATTGTTTTCTTTAATCCTGAAGAGACAGAATTCCTCATCAAATTGAAAATTTAGGCTATGCAACTCGGAATCAAACAGCCACGTTGCGGCTTCACTCAGCCTACGATCGGTTTACATCTCGCCAAGGAAAATGCACTATTTGGCTCGATACACCAACCTTGATGACCTAAACCAATGTCATAATATATGCTTCGACACAGATGAATGTCTTGGAATAACAAAAGGCCTCGAATATCAAAGAATTACTATAAAAGCTACAGCTCCCGGGCAGTTAACTGTTCTATTACACGATTGTTTACAGCCGAGTTCGTAATGTGATATTTCGTGATAGATCGGAGGGCGATCGGGAGACCCGAAGGCAAACTTCTGACTTGGAAAAAAAAACTATACGCGTTGCATTTTATGACTCGTGACCCGGCCAAGGCCCTGGTCACGAGTAATTATGATGGATTTTTCGACATATTTCAATATCTTTTACTAAAATATACTAAAAATAAATACTCTGAACATGCCTAAGGTAAAATCTTCCATCTTAGGTGAATTAGTTTTGAGTTTCGTCGCTAATACGAAACGCGTGACAGTCTTGCGTGACAGACTTTGGGCCCTTATAACTTGAACACAAAATAACGAAATGACTTCAAACTTTTTCATGGTAGTCATCTCAATAGTTTCTAAAACATATTTTGAAATTATTATTATAAGATGTTTATTTCTGGTTTTGGTTTTACGACGACGTCACATGAAAACGAAGAATTGGCTGTGAATAAACGGTCACGCATTCTTGCTTTCACTAGTAAAAAATATAATATTCTACGCCATGATATACATTCAAAAATAGCTAGTCCGACTTCACGCTCCAAGAGCGTCTAGTTACGTTTAGAGTTGACTTCTGCTTATGATTCGTTTCCCTTTAGTACTTAAAAAAAGAAACAGTTGGATGTATAATTTTTAAATGATTAAATAAAATATTTTAATTCCTTTTCTTTCGCAGAATTTTCAAAATGTTTTCAAGATTCGGCGTTTTCACTTGCCTTCTGTTTATACACGGGGCTGTCTGGATTAATGCGGAAGATGGTTAGTAAAACGTTATAATTTTCACTTTTTGTTAGTAAATTAAATGGATATTTTTATAAAAGCTCGTCGCACAAAAGAGACACTTTAGACTGCGACGTTAGTAAAAATACATAGAAGTTGTTACATTTGTGCGCCGAGACGGATTGTTGTCTTCGTCTTCGAGTGGTGAAAGATCTCTCACGAGAGACGTAGCGAGAAAAGGAAAGCGGAAAAAAAGAAAAGCATGGGGCATACATGTAAGACAAAAAAAAAATAATAAGAAAAATGCAAAGAAAACAAAATAGTTAAATAAATAAATAAAATCGATTTAAACTGAAATCAAAAAATTGGAATTAATATTTTTTTCGTTCAAAACAGGACATGATTTCGCCAAGAGGGGTTTCGGTTCCTACTTTTCAAACAGCTATTTTGATGAAATAGCTGCCGCAACATGTGCTGCTTTACCTCTAAGTCGAGCGGGACATGTATTCCCAGTTAGACGAAGGTGTTCCTCAAGTTCAAAGGAGACTTGCGACCAAATCTGTCAAAGCTCTGGAGTTTTAAAGCAAACGTCCTGGAACAATAAGTATGATTGGTTTGTATTCAATTTCAATGCGTCCGCGTTATATTGAATAGTGTATTCCAAGACACAAATGCATTGTTAATCGTGTTCTATTGCCAGTTCCGAATAGTCAAGAACTTCAATTGACCGATGACAAAACGAAAATGGGACTGGGTCCGAACTTCTAAATCTAATTGAATAATTGTTCCAGAAACAATAACCCATCGTGTGAAAGAGCACCATACAAAAGGCTCACTGACTAAGTTTCATGATGTTTGAACTTAAAGCAGTAAAGTTACTGACATTCAAACCATGCCAAAATATCAAAGAAATCTATGGTGTCCAGCCATAGCGTCCAGCCAAACATATAGTATACATTCTTTGTCATTTTAGAAATTTTAAAAAGTATATATATACATTCCAATTAAACTTGCTGAAACTAAGCTTTAGCTAACTTTCATTACCTTTATTATCTATCGACAATAGATTTCTGTTGATTGTATCACTTTAATAATACAATCTTTCCCAGTTCCCTGCTCGTTTTGTTATCGGCCAATTTAAAGCAATCAAGTTGAGATTTTATTTTTTTTTTGCCGCAATATAGAGCTTAAAGTAACAATGCATTGCGGTCTAGGAATTCGCCATGCAGTTTATAGTATTCAGTATTGCCATAGTAACGTTATGAAATATATGATGCCAGTCGCCTTTGTTATGTTACCTTCCAACAGACATTTTTGCAGTTAAAACCAAAGTGGGCAACATGCATGTTTGCTGAGACCCTCAAATGAACAACAGTACCGAGTACAACAGTACCGAATTTCAAAGGAATTTTTTTTTTTTTTTTTGCTGACAATGTAAAAATGACAATGAAAAAAGATTTACAATTTACAAAGGCACCTTGCGCAACTTGAATACTAACCGCGAAAAGGGCTATTCTCCACCTTTATAGTAATATTTCATTTTTACTTAAACCTTAGACAGGGTCTGAATGGGGTTAACGGACTAGCGACAAATGGACAAAATAACTACTGACTAGCGACAAATTCAAATTTGAACAAAATTTGCTGACTACCGACATTAACAAATTTTCTGACTGGCGACATTTTCCAATATTCAAAGATGTTAGCTCCGAGAATACAAGCTTTTTTTATTTTTCAAGCAACTACATTCAAAATTTTCCGCGGAAAAATAAATTTTGCTTCGGATTGGCTTCTTGAAGTTGTGATGAGCCACTCTAAAACTTTGAGGGCCATCCAATTGACCAATCATTACTCAAGGATTGAATTGTTGGTATTTTAGAAAGAATTCTTTTGGTATAAAGCACCGTTTTAGATGCATTTAAACTTAAATATTTCTCAACTTTTTTTAAATAACCGACTACCGACAAATGTCTAGAATTTTAACTGACTACAAATGCTTGAAATTTTAACTGACTACCGACATTGAGACCCTCCCCATTAAGACCTTGCTTACAATTTAATATCTTTCAGCCCGTCCAAATGCATCGAGTCACTTCATGTCTACAGGAATCGTCCGGACCTGTTACCAAACCTCAAGTCTGACACAGATGTCGGTAAAGTTGGTCTATTGGTCTTTCGTTACCAGAGCTGTATTGCAACTTCTTGTGGTCCAAACTATTGTTGTTGTGTAAAACGATAGATTTATGTTAATCAAAAGAAAACTCAAAATAATCAATGTAAAGCTAAATCTTGAGTTTTAACTGTAATAAAACGCTATGGAGTGTGTATCCTTAAACAAAATCTGAATTTAATATTTGATTTTGATCGATTCCGTCTCAAAAAATGAATTTTGAAGCAATGATTTCTTGCGAAATCAAGCAGTTTCATATTATTTAAAACAGTTTGTGTTCTTTTATATTACTCTAGAAAGATATTTTTACTATTACTCTCAGCCTCTGATATCATGGTATTCTCGCTCTTTGATTTCTTTTGTCTAAACATTTGATCATAGCTTACGTTGCAAATGAAAAATATAGCAAAACTGCATGAGGAAAACTTCAGGAAGGCGGAAATTGAGGTTGTCTGGGGAGAGTTGTATTTATAGTACCGACCATGACGAAAGAAACGCATCAAAATGCAGTTTATTTTGCTTTGATCAGACAGATATTTTGTTAAATGAAAGAAGACGAAAGTAAGTCATATATAAAATTTATGAAAATTGAGTACAATTTATTCAAGTTATGGGGAAATCCTGGCCATATTTTCTTTACAATTTTTCTTAGCCTTCAGGGCCGGGTTGTTCAAAGCCCGATTAGTGTAAATCCAGGTTTAACTCCCTAGGTTTTCTAAGAGTTAACCCAGGATTAGCCTCAGTAATCGGGCTTTGAACAACCAAGCCCAGTAGAGATGTTACAATTAATGTGTGTGAAAAGTTTAGACGGATTATGTCGAGCGTAACTTAAAATATGATCTCGTGTACACGAAACAAGCTTTTTCAAAGAAAAAACTCAAGCTGAAAGCTAAAAATTATTATGCCATGGTCATTTTTTATTGCATGTAGATCGTTTCGATTTTTGCGTTAGTGAACTTCATTCCTAACGTTGCATTCATGTAAAGTTTGGGCGCTGCTCGTAAATTCGTTGCTAGAACAACCTTCAAAATAATAGACAAAATCTGATCTCATTCTTCCTATTCCGAACAGCTTGATATATATTAATATTTATACACCCTTTTAATAAGTCCCGAGGTATTGTTTTCTCCGCACTTGACGTCAAATTTATTCTTTTGAAATTTTTACAATACAAAAGGAATTCAAAAGAATAAATTTGACGTCAAGTGCGGAGAACACAATACCTTGAGACTTATTAAAAGGGTTTATATTATAGCTCAATTCTAACACGCGCGCTGGTTGGCGGATTTCATGAGAAAAGCTATGGTTTATTTCGCCGGGAAACCAGGCTGCTGTCTTGAAAGAATTATGAGTCTTAATGGCGGACGCCTGACGGCTCGTGATTTACTGATCTTTTCTCSTGTTCTCCCAACTATCCCGCGCTGTTTATTTCGCCAGTAAACCCCTTCACGCTATCGTTTATTGCTTAAATCATAATCATCGCAGAATTTGCACCAATCAAAAATGCCCAAGCTAAGACGATAACAATCTTCATTTCACAAATTTAACATGTCAGTCTTACTGAGGACTCGTTTCCCTTTAAGCTGCCAAATCTACCATATGGCGTGATTCAAAATTATATGCTCACTTGTCTGTAAACTCCAATAAGGCTAGCTTGTACCATATAATGTGCCTCAAAGATAGCAATGGCTCAACAAAAGCTGAATCAATCATTTATAGTTTATATTACGACCCGTTTACTCCAGATGGTTTAAACTTAGTTTTTATTTCGCGCGTTTTTATAAGTTCTTGTTGGGATAAAATGTAAAAAATTCATGACTAACATCCTTGATGAGTCAGACAGCTACTTTCGAAAAAATGTAAACCAGGCCTCGTAATTACAGTAGCCAATGCATGTTGCAACAACTGTTATAATCACAAGAAACACACGTTTTCATTCTTTATTATCTATTCATCTTTTTTTAATGAAAAATGACTTTTCTATGAAAGGAGTCAACGCTCTTGTACTTTTGCCAGTGGGATGCCCTTTTGTCATGATCTGCGCATGTACAATATACAGGCTCTCCACTGAGAGATAATAATGTAAATATGGGTGTAGCTCATATAGATTAAAACAAATGTTTTTAGATATGTACTCTTCATACTTACGATCTTGTGGCAAACGGTAGTTGGGGACTCAGGAATAGCAGTATTGCTGGTAGCAGCAACGAAGGTTAGTCCTTCAGATCAGTTTCTTCAGATCAGATTCCTGGGTGATTCGAGTCTATATTCTCATTTTCTTCTCTGTCTTCTTTTGTTCTCGTTTAGCTAATATAATGGATCATGAATTATAGGAGTCAGACAAAAAGGCAGAATAGATCTTGTGAAATTTCAGTTAAAAACTGCGGCTTCTGTTTGTATATTTTCGGGAAGCTTGAATGACTCGTTTAAGTGATAATATGCATGCTCGAAAACATTGTCAAAATATATAAAAATTTCAATCAGTTAAAAAAAAGATTCTTTCGACTGAAATGATCAAATGTTTCCAACAAGAATTCGTGTCATGTAGAACGGCTTCATTTTCCTTTTTTGGAAGCTTGAAGCATTCCATATATTTTATGACACAAGCTATTTCTCCTTCGTTTTATTGCAAAACAAGTTTAATGATTTTATATCCAAAACTGAAGTAATATGCCTCAGATTGAAGAGCAAACCAATTTCCTGTATCCCACTGTAATCAATTATTTTCACAATTTAAGTGATTTTTGTTTCCATGTCAATCGGGATTTGTTGAAGAAGTAGAAGTGACGCATAATTTAATTTACAAACATCTGCTTATAATTGCCACTACCACTAGTGGTACTATGTATAGTTTAAAACACGAGAGAGAGTGTTTTAAACGGCCTCAAAAACGCCAACACTAGTTTGAAACTCAAATCCGTTAAAATTCTTGGAGAAATTGCCGTAAAAACAAATTTCGAGATAAATGGGGCAAACTGATCATGCGCGAATCACTGTACAAGGCACTATTTCCTTCCAACATTGAATACGCATAAAGTAAAATAGAACCGCTGTTGCCTTTTTACTGAAATCGGTTGACATCCTGCTTTGGTCAAAGATCAAGTATACAACCTGAGACCTTTGCTAGGGATGGACCTTTATATCTGATAAGGGTCACCCTTATTAGTATTCTTTATATAAAGAATACTAATAAGGAGTCTTTTATCAGATATAAAGGTCCATGCATGTGACCAAATTGGCTCATTCTATTGGCCTAGTAGCTCATTAATTATGTACGAGTTTTTGAAGTAATATATAAAGATACGATCACGGCAAAGACTTCCCATTGATTTTAACCTTATGAATAATTAATGAATTTGATAATCGTATAATTTGTTATTTTTAATGAATGTCATCTGTTTTATTTCTGTCCACAAATCATTTATATTTTTAACTTTAGCACAATGTTGACAATCACGTGGATATTAATCTTGGAAGCCGTTGTCATAGTAACAGGAAACATCATCACCATTGTGATATTCACCACTACACCGCGTCTGCGCAGTCGACAGAATTCATTGATCGTTAATTTAGCGGTTGGTGATCTCTGTGTTGGAATGGTTTCAGCTCCCTTAATGGCTGTAAAACAAGAGCTTGGAAAAATTTCGATCAGGTTTGACATGCTTCATGACTCTCAACATGCCTGTTTGGCAGCGGTTTCGATATGTGGTTTGGTTATCTTGGCTCTTGATCGATTTCACGCAACGTACTTTCCATTTAGACACCACACTTTAACCAACGTTCCGTATGTTCTTGGGACAGCCCTTATATGGATGCTGTCAATCACTGTAAACGTACCATTAACTTTTGTAAGAGATAGCAGAGCTCGGATTATAATAAGATGTTCTTTAGTAATAATAGCACTGGTAATCATTGCAGTCTCGTACTTTTTAATATATATCAAAGTACGAAAAAGCTCAACTACATCTAGTCACGTCATCCATCAGCAAAACAGGAAGCTGACAATCACCCTAGTCGTCGTTACTATAATTAGCGTGGTCACGTTGGCACCTCGTCAAATTATGGCTATATTCGACCCTTTTTCCAGGATTCCAGTTTTACTAGTTCACAAGGCGAAGGTTTACAATGCTACAATAGTTCTTCAGTTTGGGAATTCTTTAGTAAATTTTTTTGTGTATGCATTTCGTATGCGTGAATTTAAAGAAGAGTTATTGCGCAGACTTCGATGCTGTGACAGGAATCGTGTGTCTGTGATTGGTGGAAAAAGACTTGAAAAAAGGGTTCGAAATAATGACATTTGTACTTCTTGAAATCAAAGTAACACCCATACATACATACATCCTTTATTTATACACAAACAATTTTACATGCATGTTGTGTTTTCTATAAACTACAATAATAATAAAGAAAATCATAATACACTATATATCTATCTTGTATAAAACAATAATTAATTTAACTTAAATAAATTTCAATTTGAGAGCAGAGTATATGATAATATTTTGCCTTTTTTATGCTAATTATCTGCGAAATTGTCCGTAAAATATTTTATATACTCCAAATGAATGCATGACTATGTGTGGATGAACGTTTTTATTTGAAGAACTCATTATTCAGTACGTACTGGCCTCATTTATCAGGCATAAATTAGATATCACAAGCCATGTATCCTTTATAGCATCTCTTATCAGATGTAGAGATTTATTAAACTGACTTTGCCATGCAGCCACCAACTAACTTTACCACTTAATATTCTCATGTTACCTGCATCGTGTTTAGCCTCCTCCACAGTCATCACTAAGAGTGTCGGGCTTCCTGTCTTTTTGGGAGTCAGAAGAGAGAGAATGGGAGCGAGAGAGGAGAGGTGCATATCTTGCAAATATCTAGATTCCATGTCCAGCAATCTTACACTGTGCATGCGCATAATATGATTACATCAGCACCTCATTACGATCAGAAGGGGATAATTAGCCTGGATTCATTTCGTGTCAGTCATTAAATCATACATTGATGTTGTAATTACTATAAGTATAATCCAGAATTTCTCTTGAAATGAAAGTAATTAAGGTGAAACCCAAACCCCACGTACGAAACATGCTATTATTTGTTTATAGAAAGGTTGAACAAATTTGTGTAATTTTAATATTCTATATAAATTATAAAA